ATGTGGTTTAGTTCGGATTCAACCTTCCGCAAGAGCCCTTTCTAGACCAAGAGAAAAAGGTTGAAACATTTCGATGTGCAGTATTTTTGATTGACATTAACTATAGGACTTGATCTCACATCCTGACACGAATTATACAAGAATTCGTTCCGTAAATGAAGTGAACACTGAGATGTTTCTTGACTTGCTACTCGTGGGTTCCACACCTCGACTCGGCACTCCTTCACGGACGTTTCCGGCTGCGTTCGCCCTAGCTCTATGGCTGTGACCTAGCTCTATGTTTTGCCTTTTTCACCAAGCAGTTGAGGGCCTCCACAAGCAGTTGAGGGATACGATCTGTGCCATGGAACGCCGACCTGTGGCGGGGCCAATTCCTTCAAGAGGGGTATCGGTATGAGGAGGCAGAGTATAGTCAGTACATGAATCACAGAACCATACGTATCTTCTCCTGTACCAACCTTTCGCCAGCAGCATCTTTCAAGCTTAAGGCAAGAATTCACCTCACCCGACCTCGCCAAACGCCCGACCTCGGTGGAGTTTCGATCCTGCTGGTCTTTTCTGTTTGCTGCAGGACCAATGAAGTCTCTCACGGCCATTTCCATCCTCTCGGTGGGGAGACACAGATCCGGTCGTCGCGTCCACTTTCGGGTCGTTTCGGGTCCTTTCGGGTCCTTTCGGGTCGTTTCGTTTTGGGTGGCTTCCGGTCGTTTCGGGATGAAGATGAAGGGAGGATCTTCATCCATGTTTCGGTGGCCTTGAGCCGATTCGCCCTGCATCTTGAGCTAGTCCCTCGCTGGTGAATGAGTGATGTACCCTGTACCCTTTAGGGTCCTTTAGGCGTCAAGAACCCTCAGACCCATATGTTGCCGAAGGGGTGTTCAATGGGAGTGCTTGAGTGTCCAAGGCTTCCATCCTGTGCTGAGGCTCCTGAACAGTGTTTTTCTTCATGACTCCGCATCTCTTGTTCGTAAGTGATGCAAGATGCAACCCGCGGTCGGACGTGGATGCGGGTCGCAACGGGTTCAGCAAAAACACACCCTGTCGGGTTTAGGCGGGCATGGAAAGTAGACCATTCCCCGGCGATTTGGGTGACATGGCCCGCCTACTTGCCGGGGGTGAAGCTGAGTGAAGCTCGCTGCTTGGAGCTTCAAGTCCCTCAAAGATCCTCAAAGGGCATGCGTGACAAAGAAATTCAGCCGCAAAGTCAATGGCCAGGGCAAACATTCAGGGATCTCTTGGGATCTCCATTCCCTCGCTCCCAACCTTCCCCAGCTCTTCAGCTTGGCCTGTCTCATCTGTTTGCCTAGGAGTCCAAGCTTCGCAAGCTCAGGGGCAGTGAGGCAGGGCAGGGAATAGACTGCCAACGTTTCGGAACTCTTCGAAGCCGTCACACTCATTGCTTCATTCCCATGTGTCGGTTGTGAGCGGGTGGGGAAGCTTAGTACTGGAGTACTGGATCTGCTTAGCAAGTCCTTGACATGGAACGATTGGGTAGAGCTAGATGTAGTATGAGGACATGGATAGAACCCATGGAGGCGACGAACAGTGCGGGAGTACGCCTCAATTCGATCTTGTATACATGTTCAGGGTCGCCAAATCTGCATGAAAGGAGCATCTCATGCATTCGGCTCAGGTTGTCGACGGACAGCGCTGTGACTGCCCCTTGGCTGGGTGTGGTGGAATGTGTTTTCTTCGATTCCTATGTGTGAAATGCTCAAGGCGTAGCCATAGGTGGTTGGTAAGTATGCCAAGTAAGTTCTCAAGCATTCCTCAAACATCCTGCCAGCTGTTTTTTTGGCTGGTAACGTGATGACCATAAATTGTTGCAGGGTGATGCAGGGTGCTTGTATTCCTTGGATGCCCCTAGTTGCCATATGTTGCCATGTGCCTTTTGAGTGGCCCTGGACTTTGAGGTGACTGAGAGGCCTTCATAGCTTGTGGGGGCGCTGCAGGCAAAGAAGCATCTTAGTGTGTGACATGCATTGCAGAATGAACCGATGAAAGGAAAACAGGCAGCCTTGGCTCAATGATGACCCCTTTCAAAGGCGGTGCAAATGTTTGCAAAACACTTGCGACCAAGTGCAGGCCAGGTGCGGCCCAAGGTCACTACGGCCCAAGGTCACTACATTTTGGGGGGGGAGAAGAACAAACAACAAAACTAAGGATTCAGGATGGCAGATGGTGCATGGTCTCCTGCATCCAATAGCTCTTGTTGGCACAGCCACACAGGGAGTTCCTACCACCTGGTCTCGAAGTTTGTTGGGTTATTTTTGCAATTCTGGAACTAATGGCTGTAGCTTCTCCAGACATTCAATGGAGCACTGGACTGAACAAATGTGAAACGATGATGTTAAGCAGGCCTCCTTTTTAACAGAAGACCCCGCCAAAGAAATTCACTGTAAACCCGCCGCGTTTGGCCCCGACTTGCTTTCGAAGGCCGAAGGCAACATTTGAAGGCCCCGCCGCGTTTGGGCTTTGGACAGTTCAGGCTCAAGATACATTTTGCCGGCAAATGTCTATCCAAGGTACTCTCTTCGGAGACTGAGATGCTATATTTTTGCTGGAAGCCACCGGTCAAGAGCTGTGTGTTTCATAAGAATCACTTATATATATATATATATATTTCCTTTCAATTTCAGCTACTCTGAAGTCAGGTGGTCGCTCATTTTACATGTTGCTTCATTCATTGGAAATACAACAGCATTAGTAAATTGTTTTTCACCAAGGCAGAGCCAGAGCTGTTGATCAAAGGGAGGTCAAGTCTAAGTGTTCTTATTGAGCCATGGCAGTGAATCAACATAGCCGCGAGACCTTAGCAGAGGGCAAGTGTGTTTGCCTAGTGAGTCAGATTGTTTCGCAGCGCTTGCTGACTTTCGCAGCCTGAGAGCCCTCAGTAACCTTTCAGGAGGACTGATTCGAGCTGAAGCAAGAGCTGGGTCGATTGACAAGCGTTGACAAGTATGAATGTCGACGTATGTAGTCGCCTGTGCTCTACATGCTCTCAGACATTGCTTGCACTTGTTGCAAGCAATTCTTCAATAACTGGTCCTACCATGTCCTACCAATGAATATTTTCAAGGGGTTGATCTGTGTTGGTCCGTTTAGCCACTTCCAGAGTCGCAGGGCCTCGCAGGGCCAGTGAAAGCACCACAGGCTAAAGTACCGGCTGTCGATATCCACAATCGGATTGCTACTCACGTCCAAGTAGAACTCCCGCGGATCTCCGGTCAGGGCGGTGATTTGATTGTGAGACAAGCGCAGCACTATGATCGTCCAATACAACGGGAAATTGTTGAAGGTCATCGTCCCTGGCAATGCGCCCGACAAATTGCAGTTGGTGGCCTTGATCACTGACAGAGCTTGATTGTGTGACAAGGGCAGAAGAAAGTCCTTGACATCCATGTCCAAGTGAGTGTCAGACAAGTCCAACGTAGAGAGATTCGGAAAAGGTTGTTTGTTAGCAACACCTGGGCCGGGAGTCATGTTGAACTTCACTCCTGTGTCAACTGCAGCCCTGTCAGTTTCTACCCAACCTGGAGCCATTCATCATTGATTGAACCAAAGACATGTGTGTGTGTGCTGCAAGTGCAAGTACATCAGGTTCTCGTGCTCTCGCAGCGTCTTCGTCACATCACCAGTGACGTTGGCCCGCTGCACACACAAACCCTTCAATGGTGAGCCTGCCGGAATGCTCGTCAAATCACCAAACACTTGCTCAGCGCCCCTCAGATCCAGGAATTGAAGCTTTGCCCAGCCCAGCTCCCCCAATCCTCCCCGCACTTTGCTTCCAGACAGCTTCAAAGCAATAGAATCGAACGAGCTGAGTCTCCCCAGGTCCGCATCTACGTTGCGCCCTCTCATCTGCAAACGTGTGAGGCGATCAAGTGCAACATCTTCCAAATCTTTCAGGCTGCCGGTAGTGTGTTCTCCGTCTAGGAAGAGCTGTTCCACCTTCTCAAGCCAAGAAAGGACACAATTGAGATGGCGCGTGGTGGCCAGCTGGGATTTGGCCTTGATGGCTACTAGTCTGATCCTGCCTTCCTTACAGGTCACGTCTTCTGTGGTCTTTAATTCGTACTTTGCTGCCATCGCCATCCGGGCACCACTTGAGACCCTCCTTCGGTACATACTGACTCCACAAGCTGGAACAGAAGCTTGATCGCCTGCGAAGGTGAATTCACCTGGCAGGACAGGAAAAAGGTGCAAAAGAAGCGTGAAACGGACCGGATCAGTTTCATTGTTCAATTTCTAAGGCCTCAGGAGAAAAGTTACACCACCATAGGCCCTGAAACTAAAGCTAAGCTTAGATAGATCTTGCATTCAGGCAGCCTCTTGGGAGCAGCACGTCGCTTCACAATTCCTTTTCCAAACCAGGCTCGTAAGAGCAGCACCCTGAACAGCACCTTGGACAACACCCAACACATTGGACTGTAGCCACTCAAACAGCAGCGCTGCCAAATACAGCCCTGGGCGACACCCTTGTCCAAACCAGCTTGGTGAGAACTCCGTGCATACAACGTCCAGCTATCTAGCAAAAATTGAGTTTTAGCAAGAAAAATGCTAGACTGAACATCGGACGAAGAAAGCCTTAATAGATTTGCTGCATCCATTTCATTAAGCACCCTGTTTTCAATTCGACGTGTCCGCTTCTTGTGTTGTGTTTGAACGGTTCATCCTAGCTCATCCCCTTAACTGCAGAAGTGAGGGGAGTGGCCCGCCTGTCCACCTAGTGTTGCACTCAGGGATTCAACCCGGGATAGCCTATAGACCATACCGGCCCGCTTGGCTGAGAAAATAGAGTTTGACACTTCAGCCTGAGCATTGAGGAGTGATCATGCAGGCAGTTGCACAGCTGACTCACAGGCGTTGCATCAATACACCTCATCAAGATTTGGCTGTGCCAATGAAAAGCGTCAAGAGTTCAATCAGTCAGATGTTTTGCCATAGAGTCAGGGACTGGGGGTCAAGGTCATTTGCAAAGGGTCTTTCTCCATGTTGACCTTTGCCTTGTAAGACGGACTTCTAATCAATCACATGCTGTTCCCGCTCGCCGCTCACTAAGAAAAAGCAAAGTTGTTGGTTTTCACAGCCGAGCACAAGGAATGGTCATGCTTCCTTGACCCAATACT